AGATTTTTTATATTTAAAATGAGATGTTTATTCTGTATTGGATTGTGTTTATCTGCAGTTAGTTACACGAATTCAGTTATGGGATGAAATCGGATAGGGATGAAATCGTTTAGCAATGAACGGGTTTAAGAGTTTTAAGAGTTTAAGAGTTTTTAAGAGTTTTAGCCAAATGCTTTATAATATAGTATAGATATATATATATATGAGCAATCAATTGCAAACCACCCTCATTTGTGAAAATCTTACAAACCAATCTCATCCATCAATTTTCTTGATCAATGGTCAAGATTAAATATGTTTATATTAAGAAGTAAAAAAGAAAATAAAAATAAAAGTTTAATTTTTAATTAAAAAAAGGGCAAAATTGTTAAAGTTTTAATTTGTATGATTTTGTAAAGGGAAAATAACCATTTAATACAACCATTTGCCACAAAATAACTAGGTTTTTGAGGTTTTGCGTTTTGACCACCCGGATCGCTCCGGGGGCGATCCGTACATGTGGGGGGCGATCCATACATAAAGGGTCTTAAAAAAAAATTCAACCTTAAAAGACGAGATTACTGTTCACATTCGAAGACCGAACTTTGACCTCGCCCTAGGGGGCGATCCAGACCGTCCCATCGCCCCTAGGGGCGATCCAGCCTAAAAAAAAAATTTGATTTTTTTTGTGGTATTTTTAATAAAACTGATACCCCATTTAAGTTGTATTTTTTAACTTTTTTAGAACCAAATTTCATGGGTAAAGGTTTTAAAATAAACCATTATAATTATGGAGACGCAAAAATTATTTTTATCTGATTTGGGTTTCGTAAATCAGATATAAACCCGTACATCTCTTTTTTTTTCTTTTTTTTTCTACCTCCAATTTCACTATAAATATCAACCTCCTACTTCATAATTTTTCACACCTTCCCTTTCATTTCTCTTCTCATATATTCTACTCTCACAACCCTTAACCCATTAAACACAATCAACTATCACAAAACATGAAATCACGTCAAAGTGATTATGTTTGTGTGTATCTTCGAAGTGGCGGTTTATTCCAAGATATAAATGGTGTTTTAAAGTACCTTCCGATAACCTCCCCCACATGTGCAATACGTTTGTCTTCGCCAATAACGTATTCTGGGGTCGTCAAACATGTGACGAAAAAGTTAAGTTTACGTGGTTCTTTCAATTTATTTTTTAAAACGAATAGGTTATATCAGTTTATGGACGACGATGATGTGGTAATCCTCCACAACGCCATTCGTCAAACTTTACCAGAAATGTTGACACTATATGTGGTCGACAATGGAGGTTATGGAGRAAATCCATCAAGTGCAAACTCGGGCGGTCCAAACACTTTTTACCCCAGTGCTGTGAGCACACTCTTCCCCGACGTTAGCGGTGCAAACGCATATGGTCCAAGCACACTCTTCCCTACCGGTTGTGCTCCTGGTGTAAATCAGAGCACTTTCTTCCCTAGCGGTTGAAGTAGTGAAAATCGAAGCACCTTCTTCCCTTATGATGGCGCGGAAAATTCATATCTTGAACAAAAAGTTACCGTTGAACCTGATAGTTATTTTGTTCAAGACTTGAACATGCATCCGATGCAGTCTCCCAACCCGTACCCGATCCGGTCTCCCGAACTGTCAAAACCGTTGTGGGAGGTAGATATGGCAGAAGATGTTTCTGTTGCTGCCGAAATTTTGAACATACCCGAAGACGACGATAATTCGGATTCTGAAGATATCAAGCCGGTAAGGAATAGTTTTTGGGGTATGCCMKACCCACCACCTTGTCCGGACCCAGTTATCAAAAGTAGACATGGAAACATTTCCTACCAGCCTACATCCCATGTCAAAGTTCTACAAACCTTTGACTCGAAGGAAGCACTTAAGCTCACAGTGGGATTAAAGTGCGTTCATGAAAACTTTCAGATGAAAGTAAAGAAATCTTCCAAACACTGGTACGAGGTGGTGTGTCACTCAGATTCGGACTGTGATTGGCGTTTGATGGATGTTTCCATCGATGGTACCAGTATTTTCCAGGTACGGAAGCTCCACGATGAACACACATGTTCAAGGTCCCAAGTGCATCCAAACCACCGTCATGCGAATAAAAAGGTTTTGGGTCATATACTGGCAGGCAGTCTAAAGGATTGTAGGAGAGTGTACCGTGGTAAAGAAATCATGGAAGATGTGAACCAACGGTTCAATATTAGCATCTCCTACCACCAAGCATGGCGAGCAAAGATGTATGCCTTGCAACTGTTGAGGGGGACCCCGGAATCGTCGTTTAATCTACTCCCGGTTTATTGTCACAATCTAAAGCTAGCAAATCCGGGGACTGTGACAGAGATCGCTCTTGATCCACTTGGACGATTCGACATGTTGTTTGTCGCACTCGGTTGTTCGGTAATAATTTTGTCATATTTTATAATTATTGTCATAATTTTATGTTATGGAATTACATTTTTAATCTCGTTCATCTAAAGATTCGATCGTTTCTAGGACACATGAGACCGCTTCTTATAATGGACGGTGTCCATCTGAAGGGGCCGTATGTTGGCACCATGTTCTTAGTGGTCGGCATGGATGGAAACAATAGTATCGTACCCATTGCAATGGGAGTGGGGAAGACAAAAAGTGGCCCGTCATGGACATGGTTTTTATGTAAGCTTAGGCAGTGTATCGGTGATATGCCCAATTTAACCTTCATCACCAATAGGGCTGCCTCTATCAACCTGGCCATACGAACTGTATTTCCTTCTGCGCACCAAGGACTTTGTTGTCGGTATCTGAGCCAGAACCTCCGCCTAAACTCCATTAAAGAAAAAAGGAAATGGTGGATGTTCTAGGAGGCATGCAAAGCTTATCGGTTGTCGGACTTTGAAGCTACTATGGATTTGATGCGGCACAGTCTACCTAGAGCCGCTCAATATCTTGAGAAAGTTGGCTACGCTAGATGGGAACGATCGCACTTCCCTGGATTGCATTACAGTGCAATGACGTCCAATAGTGCTGAGTCCGTCAACTCAGTAATGCGGTTTGCACGCTATCTTCCGATAACAATATTAGTTGAATTTTATCGGGCGACATTGCAACAATGGTATTTCATACGTCGACATAACGGAGGTAAATTCAACCATCCTTTGACTATATGTTTGATTATGTAACATATGCTAATGATATCAAATATATGCATCGCAAATGATGAATGCAGTGACTCCTTGGGCGGAGGCCAAATTAGAGAAGAGAATACATAGGAACGCAAATTGGAAGGTATATCCCATCAGCGATTTGTTGTTTGAAGTTGATGACCACTATAACAAAGAAACGTGTGATTTGCATGCTAAGACCTGTACATGCATGCAATGACAACTTTCTGGAATAGCTTGCGGTCATGTGATTTCTATTGCTCGAAGTTTAGATATTCAAGACTGCAGTCAATTCTGTTCTGTTTGGTTCAATTCCGACTCTTACCGTGCAACATACGAGGAGGAAGTCATTCCCCTTCCACCAGAAGCTGAATRTGTGTTGCCCAAYGAACGTTTGACCRTCCTACYSSCTCCCTTGGACATACAAAACTCAGGCAGGCCACGCAACCGCGATCGTATCCCGTCACGAGACGAGGAACCAATAGTGAAAACTTGCAGTCGATGCGGCCAAAGTGGACATTTTCTATATAACTGTCCAAGTCCGATGCCAACTCCTAGGCCGACGCACAGAAGTTCAAGTAGTCGTCGAAGATCAGTTAGTCGGCCAAACGATTGTGGTCCGTCTGAACCTGATACTACACAAGACTATGTATTTGATACTTACAATTTAAGTAAGTAAATGTACGATTTTTAAGTGTACGTTTGTTGTTTTAATGGGAAATAGAAGTTTGATTTAGAAATGCATGAACATTAACCATCAATACATTGACGAATCAACTGAAACAACACCATTCAGACGTAACATTAAACTGAAAAACATCAACGACAACAAAAACATTAATACATAACATTCATGTTAGTTTCCTTCTGAGTAAAGTTGTTTGCAAGACTCAATCCAGTACTGTTTTTCATTGATCATTTATTGCATCACTGGGTACCCATTCACGATGTCCTTCACAATTTTTTCCTCCGCTCGAATCTCATTTTGCAATTGCTTGATAGCTTTTTTCTTCTTTTCAATAGATTCTTCGTGTTTGTTTTGTTTCTCCCTGTTAGCCCACCAATCATCGGTGATCTTCTAAATCTCCGCTTCAGCCTTTTCAATCGAAGCCTTCATCCTTGTAGGCATTGTTTGAGAAGACGATGGGTTTCTAACCATTTCTTTCAATAAGTGGACAAGTACTTGTATCGGATTTCATATGAAGTTGTGATATATGATTTCACAAGGCATCCTTCTTATATACTATCGGGCCTTACGATTTAAAAAAGTTGTGATATATGATTTCACAAGGCATCCTAGTAGCTGGCATGGTGTGGTCAAATCCGGTCATGAACGTGCATGACTTGTTAAATCGTTCATGACATAAAGCTTACAAGATTCGTCCTGACACCCTGACCCGTGAACCTACCAATGCACTGTCACAGACTACGAGTTAATAGCTGGCATGGTGTGGTCAAATCCGGTCATGAACCTGGCATGACTTGTTAAATCGTCTCTGTCAAGATTCGTCAATATAGCTTACAAGATTCATCAATAAAGCTTACAAGATTCGTCAATAAAGCTTACAAGATTCATCCTGGAAAAGTCTGACCTATAATCCTACCAATGTACTATCGCCCCCACTCTTTGCCTCGATTTTGCTGAATCTACCCTCAGGGCGATCCAATTTTTTTTCCCAATTATGGACTTGTTTTAGTGTTTAGTATGTTGAAGTCACAAACTGTAAGTCGGAATAAGCCCGTATTTTGCAGTTATAAAAATCTTACTGTATACTACAACTTTCATGAACGGTCGAAAATCCAATTATGACTCGAAGTGGTTGGACCTGGTTGGTTTTTTAGGCTGTTTGCACACTTTTCGTTATTAATATGCAATTTTCTAAAATTCATATAAAATAGATGGATGAACCAAATAAGACGATTCCAAAACTAATATACTCCTGTGCTACCAACCTACAACTTTGATTTAGAATTTAGAATCTAGATTGGTCTCTGAGAAGGGTCAAAAATGCTTACAAAATGCATAAAGTGTATTTTTTTTTACAAATTGCAGTCATGAACCTGCCATAAAGCTATGAGTTGTTAAATCGTCGCTGACATAAAGCTTACAAGATTCGTCCTGAAATCCTGACCCATAACCCTACCAATGTATTATCCCCTCCCTTTGCCTCGACTTTGGTGACTCTACCCTAAGGGGCGATCCAATTTTTATTTATTTTTGACATTATTTTGCAAAAAAAATATAAGCTTCTTTGTTGGTGTCAAATGTTCCTATAAAATGGGTTGTTGCTAGAGAACATATTACTGGCTACATTTTCTTGTTTTCTTTATAACAATGGACGGAAGCTCGTCCAGTTGTAATTTTAAAGTTCCAACAACGAATGAGGAGTGGGAGAGGCATGGAGAAGAATGGTAGAGAAGTCAACTACCTGAAAAAATGTCCGATGATTTGAGAGAGACTATCAAGGACTACGAACTTAAATTGGATATACTACAACAAAAACATGCGGACGTTGGTTCAAAAAAGGAGAATATTGAACATGAGATGAACGAGCGGACGAGATGGATTGCTGAAGCAAAACAACAGATTAAGCAACAACAGTGATGGATTGCTGATACACGAATGAAAATCAAAGAAGCGAAAAACCTGAACCACGAGGCATAGTTCGAGCTTGCATGCGGGGAGACTGGAAGACACATTAGGTGGAATTAAGAGGACATTGAAAAAAAGACGAAAGCAATAGAAAGAATTAAGGAACTCAATCCGCATGACAAAATTTAGTATTATCGGGTAAAAAACTTATTGTTGTCAAAGTTACTGGTTCGATCTTTTAAAATGTATTGTACTGAAATGATGATGATGTGACAAGTCCCCTTATGTTTTCCCTATAAATAACCTTGTTTTCCATTACAAACCCACTCCACCATCATTTGTTCACTGCCTCTCAACTCAGAAGAAAATAAAATGGTTAGCCATTGCAATTGTGGCGCTGATGCAATCATCAGAACGTCATGGACCGACCATAATCCAGGCCGTCGATTCTTTTGTTGTTCATTACCTGTGAGTTTTTACGTCTATATGACCTTCATATATACGTAACTGTTAGTTTTTTTAATATATATAAATCTGGATTCCTTATTTTTTTTGTAGGGACGAAACTGTGAATTTATTGATTGGCTTGATCCACCCATGTGTCCACGATCCATGCTAATTATTCCAGGGTCATTAAGGTCGAAAAATAATCTTGAAGTGTCATTTTTTGAAGCTGTTTTACAACTTCGCCGGTTAAGGACGATGTTGGCGGTAAGTTGGATTTCTATTTTTGTGATTGCGATGGTGTTGTTCATCAAGGCGATTGTAGGATAATTGTCATTTGGATTTCTTTTTCTTATGATTGCGATGGTGTTGTTCATCAAGGCTATTGTAGGATAATTGTCATTTACGTTTTCTTATTATCGAAGACCATTTCATAAAATAGTGCAAACAATGTCATTTACAAGGAATAAATTTATTATTTGGGATTAAGCAAAACGCGTTGAAGACAATATCGATGTCATACGTTGACGAAACATCATCGCCTGAACGTCGATAGGCGTATCACAATTGACCTCTAGTCCTTGCGACAACTGCTCAACAAACATGCAGTAGAAAACCCCACAATTGCCGAGCGGTCCCGTCTGTCATGGCGTGTCGTCCGAAAAAAATACTTTAACATTCGGTATGTTAAGTTGGTCCACGACCCTTACATAATATTCTATTTCTAATACGAATTCGAGGAGGGACTGCTTCAACGTGTGGATGATTCTAATAATATCTTTCTTGAACATATGATGCAGACAAGTATCGTATATGGTCAAACGCCATGACCTCAGTTCGAGCTCCCCGATCATCCAATGAGCATTCGGTATGTTAATTGGGATGAATACCTGGAAAAATAAGTTGTGAATAACAATTGATAAATAAAATATCTTATGTACGAAAAATAATTGAAGCCGTATTCTACCGACCCGGTCGACACGCACTGCGTTATCGTCTGATACATTATTTAAGTCGGACATTTTATTTTTAAAATATTCAACTTTAATATTACGAAGATTGTTTGGAAACAATCTTCGTATGGAACTGGTGCGATGTGAGGGGCGAAGATCCGACCCAAATCTTAACCCCGTGATCAGACATAACTCATGTCTGCCGAACCGTAGGCTGAACCCTCCGACATTATAATATATTTCTTCCGTTTGCGAAGGGACGGAGGGGTTCTCACGTTGCACCATCTAATTCACTAGACACGAGTCTGAATAGGGTTGGATAAATCCAACCAAGGGCCGAAACATGTGTTTCTAAACATGTTCAGACGCATGTCGTTGTCCCCGAGTGTTTTTTTATATCTTTAATTACTGAGGTCTGAGCCCTCAAAGTAAGTAGAGATTCGTATGGACCCTGAAATACAAATTTATTTTGTATAAATACATAGATAGATACATATATATGGAGATACATACCCGAAGATAGATACATACATTTTGGAAAAAAAAACATACAAATAGACGTATAAATTGCGACATACATTATGTTAAAAAAATGATATAAATTGCGGTAACATATATATATATATAGAGAGAGAGAGAGAGAGAGATGCATAACTTAAAAAAACGATATAAATTGCGGTAAAGTATATATATATATATATATATATAGATGCATAACGTAAAAAAATATATAAACGGTACAAAAATTGAAACTTCGTATTTTATACGTATATATGTGTACGGGTTAAAACCCGTACGCATATTTTTACGTATCTTCACGTATGTATGTATGTATGTATGTATGTATGTATGTATGTATGTATGTATGTATGTATGTATGTATGTATGTATGTATGTATGTATGTATGTATGTATGTGTACGGTTTAAAACCTGTAGGCATATTTACGTAAAAAAACGATATAAATTGCGGTAAAACATATACATATAAAGATGCATTACGTAAAAAAAAAAGACGATATAAATTGCGGTAACGTATATATATATATATATATATATAGAGAGAGAGAGAGAGAGAGAGAGAAAGATACGTAACTTAAAAAAAACGATATAAATTGCGGTATATATATATATATAGAGAGAGAGAGAGAGAGAGATACGTAACTTAAAAATAACGATATAAATTGCGGTAAAGTATATATATATATATATATATAGATGCATAACGTAAAAAAGAAGCGAAATAAATTGCGGTAACGTATATATATATAGAGATGCATTACGTAAAAAAAATATAAACGGTACAAAAATTGAAACTTCGTATTTTATACGTATATATATGTACGGGTTAAAACCCGTACGCATATTTACGTATCTTCACGTAAGTATTTATACGTATATATGTGTACGGTTTAAAACCCGTACGCATATTTACGTAT